TTGCCGTCGGCGTCGGACTTGATCTTGAAGAGCCACTTGGACGTTATCGCCTTACGCCCCTCTGGTAGCTCCACCAATTCCCACGTGTCATTTTCCTCAATACTCTTCAGCTCCCTCTCCATAGCACTCCTCAGCATCACTACTCTCCAAGGCCTCCTTGAGAGTTGCTGGTTCTCCCGGCATCTCCACCGGAGAGAAGAACACAAACGCACACTCCTCGTACTCACTATCCTCGTCATCTCCTACCATCATTGCCGCTCCGGCCAGGGCTGACTTGCCCTGCTTTCCCGGTGCATCATAGGTCAGCCTATTAGGGGCTTGAACTCTCCTCTTGCCCCTTCCTTCCTCCTAAGCTGCAGGGACATGAAGGCCTTGGCGTTGCTGCGGGGTAACTCGGATCCGTGGAGCACTCGTAGTGCGAGAATGAAGTGTCGGTGCACGCTCGCTCACTTGCTGCACCTCCTCCTCTTCTTCCGCTGCATCCTTGGCCTCCTCTCCCCCATTCACAAGGGAAGATTGCCTTCTGGTGGTGCTGCCTCTGCTCAGCTCCAAAGGCAGCTCCACGTGCTCCAAACCGGAACTCTTCACCTCTCCAAACCGCACGCCTATCTTCGCCTCATTTTCCGCCTTCCAATCCTTATACATCAGGTTCTCCATGAACTTGCAGTCCCTGCTCACCAAGAATTTCTTAGTGAATGGGTCCCAAAGAAGCCACCCTTTGCTGTTTTGAGCCATGCCCAAATGCACAGCCCATATCGCCTTGGCACCAAGCTTGTTGTGCTGAAGATGCTTAGGTACGAGCGCCATGCACATGCACCCAAACACCCGAAGCATATCCACCTTTGGCTTCCTTCCGATCCACTCCACATAGGGCACCCATTTGTCTGCTCCCACATGAGTCAAAGCTCTGTTCTTGGCCACACACGCACTCCGCACCGCATGAGGCCAGAAATAGTCGGGTAACCCGGCTTCAATGAGCAACCCGCGTCCCGTCTCCGTGATTGCGCGGTTCGCTCGCTCGGCGATGCCGTTCATTGCAGGGGAGTATGGCATGGTAAGGGAGTGCCTTATCCCATTATTCTTCAGACACATGGAGAACTCCTTGCTCAGGAATTCTCCCCCTCGATCGGTGCGGATTGACTTCACAAGACGGTCTTGTTGCCGCTCCACCATCAGCAGCCAATCGGTGTTCACCGTTTCGCCAAGTCATGCGAGTGTAGACGTCTACAATGGTGAGGAAGTACTCTGATCCAGCAGCTCCAAGCTTCAAGGGGCCCAACACGTCCATCACCACCTCATCAAGTGGTGCCTTAGCCGTTGCCTCCGAACTAGAGAATGGAAAACGCATGCATGTCGGGCAACCAAGTACCTCATCAGGCTCCCCCTTCATACGTATGCCAGCAGCCATCTCTCCCTTTACTAGCTGCTGCAAGATAGGCAGGGCCACATGCCCCATTCGCCGATGCAAAGTCAACCAATCACACTCCCCCGTAGCCGAAGTAGAATTGGAGAATGCCGCACTCGCAATAGTGCCGTACATGCTCTCTCCGTACTCCTCCTCTGATGCTGCCTCGGGGTTCTCCTCACCCTTTTGCTGCTCCTTGGCTGCTGCTCCTTGCGCCATTGTTCGTGCTGCAGCCACTACCAACCGCTTCACCCTTGGTGCTGACGCTAGCTGCCACTTGCCTCTCCTTAGGCATGGGGACCACATGGATCTGCCACATCTCGTTGTAGACATCCCTATCCTCATGAAGGTCCCAAAGAATCCGCTCGCCAATCCTTGCGGTGTAGGTCTTGGCTCCCTTCGAGCTCATGTCCATGCCGGCCTTTTGCAACCGCCGCACGGAAATCAGGTTCGCAGCAAGGTTGGGCACCCAAAGCACGTTCTTGAGGCCCACCATCTTCCCATCAGCACCCTTGAACTTGGCATTGCCCATGCCTTTCACCTCTGCTCGCTGCCCCAAAGCCGATGTGACATGCTTCACTGGTGACGGTTCGGTGAGCAAGTCGCGCGAGTTGTCATGCTATAGGTAGCGCCGCTATCGATCACCCAATAGTCCAGGGAGTGTAGGGTCACCTTTCCCACAGCAGCTGGCTCCTCAAAGCCTTCATTCTTCTCTGGTGCAGCCGGTGCTTGCGTAGAGACAAAGAAGAATTGGCTCGGAAAGCGATCGTCCCTCGACTCGCTCTCGTTGCCTTCACTTTTCATGTTTGCAGCACCACCTCCGCGACCGTCACGGCCTCCACGGCCTCTTCCTCTCCCTCCTCCTGCTCCTCTACCCTCTTGGCCTTGAGCAGGGGTCCATCCATCAGGGAGTTTGTAGCAATCGCGCCACATATGTCCGCTCTTGTGGCAAAAGTGGCACTCGCCGTCGAATCGGCCGCGACCGTGTCCGTAGCTCTTGTCGTCGCTGCTGTATCCGCCACTTCCGCGGCCTCCATTGAAGTTGTTGCTGCCAAATCTGCCTCCCCCTCGTCCTCTGCCCCTTCCACGGCCGTACCCTCGGCCGATGCTTGCTGCCCCGGCGCCATCCGCACTCGCCAACTCACGGCGGCGGAAGTCCTCTTGATGGATTGCTCGCTTCACGTCTTCAAGCGAGAGGCGGGGCAAGTCACGATTCAAGTTGATGATGAGCGAGGACCAAGACTCAGGGAGTAAGGCTAGCAACTTGGTCTTCTTTTGGAGCTCACTGTAGCTCAAATCAGCTCCCTCAAGCCGCCTCAACAAGTCGAAGAATTTATGCACCCCTTCTTCCACGAGTTCATCTTCTTCAATACGTAGTGTCGCCATTTGCCGTTCCAACACCACTGCTACCGCCGCTGTTGCAGGAGCGTGTACACCATTGAGAGCAGCCTATGCCTTTGGTCCCTTCTCTGGTTCACGCTGGAATGGCTTGATGTGACGGATTTGGCTGCTCCCCAACGCTTGCCCAAGTAGGAGATAGCCTTGTGCGCTCTTCCACACCCACGGGCTCTTCTCCGGGTCGTTCTCGGGGCGCTTCTCCGTTCCTTCCATCACCTCCAGTAGGTCATAGTGGTCAAACACGTTATCCATTCTGAAAGACCATTCAGCAAAGTTATCGCCGTTGAACTTGTCAAGTTCGAACACTCTTGCTTCATCCCTAGAAGGCCCAAGAGTAGGTTGCACGGGCGCCATGGCTGAATCACGGGGTTGACCTTGTGCTTGGGGTCCTCCACTGCCTCCAGCACCTCTGTCATCCCTTTCTTCAGGTCCAGCCATCGTCGTAGCTGCTCCAAGGCGCTCTGATACCACTTGTTATAGTCACACTCCAATGTGCCTAAAACGAAAGATAGAGTGCAAAGTCGGATTTCTGCACAGCGGATTAAACGTTGCTAGCGTTCTGGTCACAGCTGCAAATGACCTGATTCAACTTGGATCTGGAGCGTCGTAATGTCTCCTACAATAGGCAATATGGATCGCACGATTTCATTAAGAATGGACGACACAACGTCCGTTTGAACGAACGGCACTATGGCAACCACTATATCCTTAGAACACAAATTAGGAAGAGTTTTCGAGTTGGGAATGACTCCCAGCTCCTACAAACCCCAAGAGCCGAGGTACAGTGATGTGGAACAATGCCACACTGTCCCCAACCACGAAGGGTCTCGAAACTACCCTTCACAAGGGTCTACACCAAGTGAAATGTTACACTACACAAAGTAATGTAACTATTCTCAATATCTTGAGGTGTACCATTTTCGCGGGCTTCGCAATCACTTGAATCTTGAAACCAAGGCTCTGGTTCTTCACCATAAACTCATCCTTGAGTTCTTGATGGGTCTGCTGCACACACCTGCGACACGCCGAACGTTCGACAGACGACAAAATAGAAACCGCGCGAGACACACAAAAGACGAAATAGAAACCGCGCGAGACATACAAACGACGACGTAGATACGCGACTAGCGATGACTCGCTATTAACTCGACACACACACATTCGACATCGTGACTCATCATTCACACACTATTATAAGCATGAAATATATATTATCACAGGCCCTCATACCATTCCATGCACACACGCATGCACGCACACGAATAAGAAGCCGAGTGCAAATCGTAGGGTTGCACCAACAATATGACAAAGAAATTTGTTGGGCGGTCTGTCGCTTGTCCTCATTAAAAACCTTCGAGAAAGTGCCGTCAAATTTGATCGCACGATTGCCATGCAGCCTGTCATTCACAAACTCCGTTCGCTTCTAAATAATGCATTCCAGTTTAGGAATCTGTCCTTCGAAACATCGTCAGATGCACCGCCCATGCCCTCCAAACATCAGCTAACTTGCTACCCCTCAACCCTGAAAGACCACATTATGTAGTGCCCTGCACAATTCCATCCTTCGACTCCAATTCCCAAGTTCCCAACTTCAGCGGTAGAAGCATATTTATCACACACATCTGTCAAAATGTGATAATTGTCTAGCCTGCAGTGGGGTACTCTATAGCGAGTATAGCCAAAATTAGGGTTTCCTATATGTACTCAACTGCCTGCTAGTGCAACTCCTCTTTCCTGTTCTATCTTTCTGCCTTGCTATTCTGACATGCTATCAGAGCGACTACGCTCCTGGCCTGTGGGCCCACCTGCTTCCGCTGCTATCCTGTGTGTCGCGCGCCCCGTGGCGCGCGGCGTTTTTTTCTTCCCGCCACGCGCTCGGGGCGCGTGGCGGTTTTCTGCCCGTCGCGCGCTCGGGGCGCGCGGCGGTTTTCTGCCCGCCGTGCGCCCCGAGTCGCGCGGCGGTTTACTGCCTCACGCGGCGCCCCGGGGGCCCGCGCGCTGCCCTGCACGACGCCCGTCGCGGCGCCCTGGGGGGCCGCGCGTCGCCCTGCCCGTCGCCCTTCGCGGAGCCCTGGGGGCCCGAGGTAATGGGACTCCAGCAGCCACTGCCTCTTCAGCTCCTTCTGCGACCCGGAGTGCGACAGCTGCTGGCATTCCCCGGCGAGACGTGCTGAAACGAATGACATCACTCCCCGGCATGTCAGCCGCATATCATGCCAAGTCATCACTCCCTGCCACCTCACCACTCTTCATCCCCACCTCTGCTATCCCACCTGCCACAGTCACCACTGCCAAGGCTATAGCAGACGCCACTGCTGCCCCAGCTTTCTCCCCCAATGGATCCCCCAAAGGCACCTCACAGCTGTCCCCAGGCCTTTCTCCCAAGGCGCAGCACGTGAGACGCGTGTCGTTCTGCAGCATGGTTCGCGTGCGACGTTTTTCCGCCTGTGATGCTGACCTCGGCTCTGCTGCTGACGATGCACTCACGGCAGTAGCTAAGGCAGAAGCTGCTGCTGCAGGTGAAAGAGAAACAGCAGCGGCAGCAGCAGCAGCCACTCAAGTCGCTGCCACAAATGCAGCGAAAGCATCCCAGGAAGCAAGAGAAGGGAAATAAGCAGAAGAGAAAGCACGGGCTGCTTCCGATTCATCTGCTGCTCAGCATCCCATCCAGCGGGGCATCAGGAGTTTTATCGAGAGACCTCACCGCCGCCACTCCCACTCCCCTTCCTACTTCGGACCTCTTCACCTGATTCCCGAGCTTGCCGCCCCATCCCGAGCCATTCGCCAAAGCTCATCATTTCAGCATTTGGGTAAGAGTGGTCCGGCAATACCGCACGCCAGGACAGGTGGTCCAGACCGCTCATCAGCTGGACGCAGTTCCTTGAGTGAAAGTAGAGGAGTGGGCAGCGGTCTTAGGGAGTTGGAGCTGGAGATGTCACCCCTCTTGCCCCTGAGAATACCCTCCCCAAGAATGACTCCCTCGCCTCGCGTGCAGGAGCTGCTGCAGCACATGTGGGGTGATGTGGAGGGTGGAGACCTAGCATAGGTTATTATGAGTTTGAGGTGAATGGGTTTTTGCTTAGCTTTTTGTTTTCTAAGCTAGGCTTAGCATTGTGCTACCCAGCCCAGTACAACCAACATGAACTCATGATTCCGCATGCTGTCCCACTAAACCTAAGTTGTATTATTCGAATACCGTGCCACCGTAGGCGTAGGCCTACCGTATGAAAAGCATTGGTATCAGGGTGCTTTACCCTGATATCAGGGCCTATGATATCAGGGTAAAGCACCCTGATTACCCTGATTTCAGGGTGTTGCTACCTCCTCTTCCCTGAAATTTCAGGATGTTTGTAGTGAAAGCCCTGTAATTTCATGATAATTGATTTATATCACCCTGAGATTTCAGAGTGTTCTACACCCCCCTGCCCTGATGCCTCAGAGTGGTTATCTTCGATCCGCTTGTTTTTTCGCACTATGTAAAGGGGGCCCCGAAGCCATACGTAGATTACCTTGACTGGTCTGGGGCGCTGGCTTAGGATCTTTTTTTTATCAACGTCTCTACTGCATGTTTCCCAGCGAGGCATCCCTGGTAGTGTAGAGGCTACTAGCCTAGGTGCTTGTGAGTCTGCTAGCACAAGTGCAGTTCTTGCGGAGGCTCTGCTCACCTTCACACTGGACTCAGGCGCGTCTCGCTCCACTCACACGACAGTCACTCCACTCACCACACGTGTCCTTGTCACTCTGGATGACCCCTCCTCTGGTCCAGTAGTTGCACGTAGTTCCATTGTTCTCCTGTGTCCGGCAGTCCTCTCTTGTTCCCTCACAGGCCTCCACCTCCACTCGTTCGCTACGAACTTGGTGAGTAACTCTGTCCTCCAGGATCATTTGGACACTACCACCACTCCTTGGGGGCGAGATTGTGGCGATTTGTACGGACTCACTGACTGGCGACCACCTCGCCACGTTCACTCGGAGGCCTGGGTCTGGCCTGTACACACTGCACGTTGAGTCTGCACAGTTGGCTAGGTCCGGTCAGGTAGCTGCGTCTTGCTCGTGTCGGTTAATCACGCACCCTTCTCTCCTCTGGCACCACCAACTTGGTCACCCCTCCCTCCGACGTCTCTGTCGCATGCACTCACGTCTCCTTGTCTCAGGCCTCCTGAGGTCCTGCCCCCGCTCCCTCCGTCGCTTGCGCCGCCGTGCACTCCCTGCGTCGAGGGGCGGCAGCGCGCGGCTCCTCACTCCTCCTCGTTCCCTCCGACCACTGCTCCTCTGCAGACCCAGTCCCTGTGCCGGGCCGTGTGCGCTACTTCCTGCTGGTCGTCGACGACTACACGCGCTACACCACGGTGTTTCCCTTGAAGCACAAGGGAGACGTCCGTCTTGATTTGATCCCTTGGATCCACGCTGTTTGTTGCCAGCTGAGCGCACGGTTCCGTCAGGACCTCCTGGTGCTCCGTCTGCACTCTGATCGTGGAGGTGAGTTTTCCTCCGGTCTCCTTGAGGACTTTTGTCATGAGGAGGGCATCACCCAGTCGTTCACGCTTTCGGCTTCTCCACAGCATGGCTTTATCATGGAGGTTGCTCGTACCTCCATGATCCTCTACTCAGTGGAAAAGTGTACATGAGGAAAAGTGTAACGGCTACCTTAGTCTGAACCTACTTTTTGTTGTCAGGTAAGGTGGTTGATTCCCTTGGCGTGTCCCCTTGCAGCAAGAGCAGGGATGAGGGCATGAGCATGCGAGCAACATGCGGCTGCTCCCCATTTTCTGTGGCCGTTTGCGGTCCGATACGCCGCGCATCAGCTCAACCTCTGGCCCCGTGTCTCCGAGACAGAGACCTCGCCTACACTACGTTGGACGGGGGAGGTTGGCGATGCGTCGGCGTTTCGGGTCTGGGGTTTGCTTGCCCTTGTTCGCGATACCACCGCGGGCAAGCTCTCTCCTCGCACTATTCGCTGCTTCATTCTTGGCTTTCCCACCAACGCCCCGCCTTAGCAGTTTTACCACCCTGCCACGCGCCGCGTCCTGTCCTCCCGTAACATCACCTTTGACGAGTCTGTTTGCTACTACCGTCTCTTCCCCCACGTGTCTTCTCTTGTCCCCCCGCCACCCCTCTTCCTGGTTCCAGGTTACCCCCCGGTATACACCCCCCCCCCCTCGCGTCCTGCTCCCTAAGGTGTGTCTCATGTCTCACCTCCCCCCTTGGTTGCGCCTTTGGAGGTGTCCTCAGACTCCACAGGCCCGGCTGAGGGGGGTGACTCTGCTGCTGACGACACTGCGGCCTCTCGCCGCTCCCCGCGCTTGGAAACCCCTCCTGGTTTTCCGCCTCGGCCGCCTTCGCCACCTCTGCAGCCTGTCGCTGTGGACTCCGGTGCTGCTGGGGGTGGTGACACTGGAGGTGCGGGCTCTGGGGTTGCTGGGACTGGCGGGCTCTGGGGGTGCTGGGACTGGGGGTGCTGGTTCTGGGGGTGCTGGTTCTGGCGGTGTTGGAGCCGGTGGTGCTGGAGGTGCTCCCACTGGAGGTACAGGGGGTTCTGGTGTTAGAGGTGCTGGAGCTGGAGGTACGGGAGCGGGTTTCAGGTAGGGCGGCGGTTTCAGGTTGTGAGGACGGTGGGTTTCAGGTAAGGCGGCGGTTTCAGGTCGTGGAGACAGGAAAGGTAGCGGGCGACGGGTGGGGAGCGTGACTAACGGCCCGCACGTGCGCGCGACTGCTGCTGTGCGTGCTTCGCGGCGTACGTGCGCGCGGCTGCGCATGCGGCTAAGGCTGCGCGTGCAGTGTGCGTTTGCTGCGCGCTAGCGGGCTGGCGGGCAAAACGCGGGGCAAAGCGGATGACGCGCTGGGCAAAGCGGGTGGGGCGTGGGGCAGAAACAGGTGACGCGCGGGGGCGACTGGGGGCGCGATCTACTCGGGCGTTAGGCAGGGCGCTTCGGGCTACGGGGCGCTACGAGGCGCGCGGGTGGTGGGCCCATGACTATCGAGAGAAATATCGCTAGGGAAAAATCGCCTAGGAAAAATCGCCGAGGGAAAAATCGCCTAGGGGGAATCTCGCTCTATACAATGTTACAATATGAGAATGAATGACTAGCAAATGAAAAAACAAGCAAGATATAGGTCAGCCATAACCTAGGACAAAAGTAATACACCTAGACTAGAACAATACAAACTATATAATTATAGTTTGACAAGCTGGGGGTGGACAGCGCCAGCAGTTGCGTCCGCAGGCGACTCTCTCGCCGCAGCAGCTCCGTGAGTGGGTGTTCCGGCACAGTGCTGAGCCTGGAGGTGCTGGTTCTGGGGGTGCTGAGCCTGGGGGTACTGACTCTGGGGGTGCTGACACTGGAGGTGCTGTGCCTGGGGGTGCTGACGCTGGAGCTGGAGGCACTGGAGGTCCTGGAGCTGGAGCTGGAGGTACTGGAGCTGGCGGTGCTGGAGGTTCTGGTACTGGAGGTCCTGTCGCTGGAGGTGCTGGAGGTTCTTGTGCTTGAGGTACTTGAGCTGGAGGTACTGGAGCTGGCGGTGCTAGAGGTTTTGGAGCTGGAGGTACTGGAGCTGGAGGTGCTGGAGGTGGCGGCGCTGGAGGTGCTGTTGCTGGAGGTACTGGAACCGGGGGTGCTGTGCAGCCACGACAGTGGCAATCGTTCTTCTTGGACCAGCCGCAGTCGTCATTGCCACCACCTGGCTCGGCTCTTCGCCATGTTCTCAGTCTTCCGTCTTCCACTAGTGTTACTCCTCCTGTACTGTGTCCACCGACTGACGTCCCAGACACCGTTACAGCCTCACTCCCCATTGCCTGCTCCTTCTCCTTACACTGAATCGACAAACTCCCTGACTGAGCGTCGAGAGCCAGCGTCTCGTCCTGCCACACCTGTTCGTACTCGTCGTGCTCCCTGTGTTCGTCCTCCACCTGTCCCCGGCATGCACACCATGGCACTTCGTCCTTCCTTTGTTGCACAACGTCCTGTCCTGCCGTCTCCTCCAGCGTCCTCTCTTCAAGACATTCCTGACCCTGAGTCTGACGTTGCTCGTGCTGCTAGTCCTGCTGTCACGTGTGTTCTGGCCACACTTGTCACTGACCCTACCTTTGAGTACACCGCTGTGTCTGCCTTAGTCACTGAGCTAGTTGACTTTTCGTTGCATGCGTGGTGTGAGCGTGTGCAAGAATTTGTATTTGGCGTGGTTTAAATTTTCTGAGTGTGTGTGAATGTTATTTGGCTTGAGCAGATATCTGAAGTGACTCCTCTGCTCGAGAGCATTCCGACGCACCTGGAACCCTTCGAAGTTCGTATGCTTCTTATATTTGGTTACAGCAACTTTGGGAACTTGTGGGGTGACTCCATAAGAGGTATAGACCATTGGGGGTTGGGAAATTCGTCACTTCTGCTGTAGTTGCTGCCAAATGGTTGGGAGAAGCCAAAGTAGGTTGGCAAGTGTGGCCAAGTTGGGTGAGGTGGATGGCATGGGTTGGGAAAGTGACAAAGGTCAAAGTTGGGGTGCCTATAGGGAGGGGAATTGTGTGAATATGGGGTTTCATTGGTTGGGGACTCCTTGGAGACCTTCCCTCTCGTCCTCCTCATCCCCTCCTACCTGGATTCTAGCTACCCCCAGGTGCGCCGAAATTCATAACTCCAGTTTTACTTCACCTATTGATACGATTCAAATTGGAAATTGTAGCCACGGTCTATAGCTACAACTTATCTAAAATTGATGAAGGTTTAACTGTGCAAGTTTCGTCGAAGAAGTTTCTTGTGAAGTCGACATTTCTGTCCAGCAATATAGTCCAACGATTTTGAGATATTTCGGCCCCTAATCTTCATAGACTCCGTCCTCAGTTTCCAACACATTGTTGAGGCCGATGAGGTGCAGCGGCCTTCAAGGCAGGTGGAAGTCTCTGTGTCAGAGGAGGAGATATCTGGGATGACTGAGGATGAGGGAGAACCTGAGGTGGAGCAGCAGCAGCAGCAGCAGCAGCAGTCGCAGCAGCAGCAAGGTGCTGCCCCACACCCGCCAGAGCGTCCTAGGAGGAATGTGCGCCCTCTTGCTAGG